GGAAGGAAGGAAGGAAGGAAGGAAGGAAGGAAGGAAGGAAGGAAGGAAGGAAGGAAGGCTATAACGTTGCTTGGGTGGGCAGCAGGATGAAGGTATTAAAGCAAATGTATGGAAGTATAGAATATGTCCAGCCATCCATACATAGAACATATTGGAGCTGTCCTGTCCAAAGACTTACGTAGTCCTTAAAAGGTATCCAATGGAAGTAAATCTGTGGGGATTTGAATTAAAAATGCTGCTAAAATTTAAATGTTGTATGTTTGTACCTACTGTTTCAGTGTTAAAATATATTCAGAACACATTTTTGACCTAAAAAAAAATTCATTGTCATTATTCCTACACAGTTGAAATTTCATTTATTTTCTCTTCAAGCTAAAAATTCACATTACTATTTCAAAGTTATTACATTTTCAATACTTATTTTTCAGTTACATTTTTGAGTGTTAAAAAAAATTTGCATATAAAAAAATTCAACCTTTCAAAATTCAAACTCAATATTTTCAGCCTCCTGAGATTCAACTGGCTCTATTTCACTGTCTTAAATTCGGCGTCTAAACTCTGTAAAAAGGGAAGGGTTACTTGAGGTCACAGACAGTAATAAACTAAACCGTGAGTTTATTACTTTAATTTTTCTGTAGTTGAGTTATCGTTAGCCTGCATGACCGGCTCCATCATGCTGGTTTTCCTTCCGTATGAGTGCCACATGCATCATGTGACTAAGAAAACGTAACGGGATTGGCTGGGTGTTGGACAACACAATCCATTGCTAATGTCTGTGAAAGTAAAATTAAATTTCAACTGTGTAGAAATAATGACAATAAATTTTTTTTAGGTCAAAAATGTGTTCTGAATTTATTTTAACACTGAAACAGTAAGTACAAACATACAACATTTAAATTTCAGTGCCATTTTTAATTCAAATCCCAGCGACAGATTTACTTCCATAGTATCCAGAAGAAGTGGTAATTCTGAATAAATAGAATCTATGTTTTAAATCTGTTTAACAATTTTAAGATAATGAAATCATGTTGGTATTTACATTTAAAAGCAGCTTGTTTTTCCTTTTGTTCTTTGCATAATTTTATAATTTTTCTATATGTTTACAAGAATAAAGTCTGGAAGTAATAAAAAACTGTAAAATTATAAAATGTTCACTGGTAAAATACCCTTGTTACATTTAGGATTTTTAAAAGCTTATATACTTGTATTCTTACCCTCCTGGACCAACAAATCCCCACAGAGTCCTGGTCAATTTGCCCCTTGTGGTGGAAAAGATTTGTTCAGCAGCAGCTGTCTGAGGAATTCAGCTGAGAATCCGCTTTAAAAAGGGGTTTAAGGTCATTTGGTGACGATGTCTCCCTGGAGTTCCTGGTAATAGCTCCTCTACTTCCTTTTTTTATGGCTGTAGAGCTCCTCCTTTCTGTGGCCAGTAAAACACCAGCTCACCCTGAGCCTCAGGAGACCGAGCAAGAGGACAGGGGAGAGAGATTGGATTCATGTAGCAGTGTTTTTTTTTTTTTAGTGCAGAAAGTGAGAAGATGTCTGCTCCAATCAATGAGGGAGAGAAAATGAGTTATGAGTGAATGTGTTTATAAAGGGTGAGAGGCAATTCTTTTTTTTCCGCCTGTTTTTGGTCAGAAATTACTGTTTTGGATTTTTACCTCACAAGTAGTTGTTGAAGTTCAAGCACACTTCTATGAATCATGGTTATTGATTTTTCTTTATTGCTGGTCTTAGCCTCCTTGAAACTGTTATAGAATTTAGACAATGCAATTATGTCTGAGAACTTAATCGTTTTATACACACCACTGCTGAAATTAAACAAACTCAGATGAAAGGAAAATCTGAAATGTGATCTCCAAAATGTTTCATGTACTTCTCCTAGACAACTATGAGATATATGTGACATCAGAATGAGACTTTATTTCTCCTCTTTCTCAGTTTTTTTCTCTGGACCAATAAGATGTACTGAAGTTCAATTTAGTCTCCTTTCAAGTTTCAGGAAAAATCTCAACAAGCTCGAATATAATTCTAAGACTTCCCCAACTTTTGTCTTCTTGTGGTTCCAAGCAGATAAATCAGAGAGGTCTCTCTATGAAATCAGTCAACTACATATCCCTGCAGAGCAAAGGAAGAGCTCCCTACTGTACAATGACTTTCAGGTTGTAGACATAGAGGACATAGAAAAATGAAAGAGTTTCTGGGAAGACTTGAAATAATAATTATTCACAGCATTAAAATATTAGTATTGAATTAATTATAATTTCATGGCAAAAATGAGTCATTACATTATTACCCAAACAAAGGAAAAGAAAAAAGATATATCAATAATCCATGTCCAAAAACTTTATTGAATGTAGATCACAAATTATTCACCTTTTATCTTCTCCAGTCGACAAAAACGGATTTGAGACAAAGTATGTGAAAAGGATTCATTAAGGTCACAGTAGTATTAGGTTGTTTCTTGATTTCATAGACTATAATTGTTTATGGAAGTTAAAGGCTTTGTTGTATTTTTAGATTTCTGCAAAGGTTTTGACTCCTTATAGCATCCCTTCTTATTTAAAACAGAATAGTTTGGCTTTGGTAAAAGATTTATGGTGATTAATTTAATGTATAAGGAAAACAATGGTTCAGTCCCTCCCTCTCAAGGAACAACCAGAAGACTGAAGATGCAACAGGGAATCCGACAGGGTTGCCTCTGCTCTCCTTTATTATTTATTTCAGCTGCAGAGTTATTGGATGTTTTTCTTAAGAATAGCCAAGAATTAGCCCTTGAATTTATTTATTCTGCTATCCGCTGATAGTAAATTGGCTCGCTGATGATACTATTACTTTTCTGAAAGATGAAAAACAGCATCTTACTTATAAAAATGATAAAAAGTTTTTTTAAGCCTCTGGATTAAAGTTACATTTCTAAAAATGTGAGTTAAATTCAATACACCATTATCAATAAAGCACCGTATATGAGATTCAGGTGAAAGAAGAAATAAAATATTTAGGCTTGAACATATCAAAGGATTATAAAGCCTGTTTTTTTAGAATAGAATCAATAAATCAGACTTTACAAATAAATTAAATAACAAATACATTTCATTTGGCTTGTACTGGCTTTAAAAGAGTACAAATAACTCTACTTTTCACCTGCACTGGTTCTCGTACTTCATGAATTCCTGAATTATTTAACTCACAGATGTTTTTCTGTCTGTAACTCTGTAGCATAAACAATATGGGATTCAAGCCTTGCTCACGGCAGAAGTTATATCTTATATTCTGACCTTACTAGTATGTTTAAGTGAGAGTAAGTACTGTCAGTGGACAAACGTTTGAATGTTTCTTTGACTACCTACCCCTTAAGAGGATAACACAATTTTCCTTTTAGTTACCACCAACTCATTATTTGCACCAATTTTATATCATGTTAGATCTTAGATGCAACATTTGGACCTTTCTTGTTTAAAGGTAGAAGTATTATACTAGAAAATGTTGCAGTGACTTTTTAAAAACAAAGGTGCATGTAAACTTCTGACTGGAATTGTAAAGCTGTAAATACTGTTTTGTTACTCTGGTTTCTTCGATGCCTAAGTCATCATCTGTTGTCTCAAAAGTTTTCACTCTCTCCACCTTAGATTGCTCTGGATGCTCAGAGGATTCGTCTTATGAGGCTGCCAGAGGGAAAAGCCTCCACCAGTTCCTCGTCCTCTGGAACTAGGCAGACAGTCTATGAAGTTTGTGTTTGTCCTAATGGGAGACTTTTCCTGTCCCTGGCTGGCGCCGGATCCACCTGTCAGATCAGCAACAATGTCTGCCTCTAGAACTGCTACTCTAGGATTTTGTATAACTATAAATAAGATATTGGGGGGGGGGACATGCAGAGCAGGTCAATTTCCCTGCATCTAGGACTGATCCACGGCTAAAACAGAGACTGCAAGAGCCAATGGACAAACAAATCAGCATCATTTTCAATCAAAACTTTAACCTTATGTTCAACTGATGTGTTTAAAACGTTAATAAGGACAAGTTTGCTTAAGGTCTCTGACAGGTGCCAACATTTCTTTGTGAAAATATATATTTTTCCCTCACTTCTACAAGATTCAAAATGCTACAAGTTTTAACAAATTTTTAATACAGTTGGACAGATTGGCAGGTTTTGCTCTCTTGTGTTTAAAAAAATGACAAATCAGAGACAACAAATAATAAGGTTGATGTTTGTTATGTACTGGCTTGACTTTAATTAATTCACATGACAAAGCTATTTATTAAAAATAAAAGGACATATTAGAAAGAAAAAAAAAACACCTTAATATAACACTAGACAGTATTTTGTCCTTGCAGACATAAAGAGGTGAATTCTTTGGAGATTTACCATAAAGACACTGATTTCTTCCTCTGGTCCATAAAGCATGTCAGTGCTAGAATCACTAGGGTGATCACCCATGACAACAGGCCTACTTTTCTATTTTTTTCATTCTGTTTTTTTGTCTAGATCACTACAACTCAGACAGTTAAACTGTATTCATAGTATTCATAAGGTAATTAACTCCAAGTGTGAGCATATCTAAGTCTAATGATTACTATTTTTATCTCAACCTGAGGTCTTTGAACACAGAAGCTTGGACATGATTGAGGTGAAAATGCATTCTAGTGGTTTTCTACAGTATCCTGGGAACTTAACATACTGAAATTTTAAAATACTAAGACATGAAATGGAAATTTACAATCCGTTCTCCATTCTTATTTGTTTCATGGTGACACTTGGCTCGGATTTCCACATTAATGTTCAGATCTGCACCAAAATCCCTAGAAATGTTCCCACTCTAACCCCACACAGGAATTCAGAACAATATTTTGTGAGCATTACTTAATTTCTTCACAGTGCCCCCTAGAAAGGAAGATAATTAAAAAAGATTGGCCCCAAGCCATGCTCATAACAATTACCATAAAGGATTTTGGAGCCATGGTGTTAACCCCATCAGATGCCACCCATTTTGAATCATGCATTGCCCTGATGGAAAAAATGACAGTTTCAAGAATATTTGATAAAAATCAGAAGTCTTTCCAAATGAGGAGGATCTTGTTATTAAGTTAAGTAATTTTTTTAGTTCATTGTTGAAAACTAACCTGTTTAGGGTTTACATCAAGACGATAACCATCCCATAAGTATAGAACATCTCAATATAAATGAAATTATTGGTCTACTTGCTGGCTCGCCAAAATTTGGTGTCTTATGGAAACACTTGGTGATTTTGCAGTTTGGCTTTGTTTTTGCCAAACACTTGTATATTTATTTGAAAAAACACATTAAAGTGATATTTCTACCCATTTAAAACCACAAAACAACAAGCTGCCTGGATCCCTGTGGTGGTCTTCCTACTTGGTTCTTGCACTGAGGAAAAAATGAAAAATAAAAATAAAGTAAGCCACTCTTTTGAAAGAGAGGACCTTTGCCAGTGCCTTATGTCAATGCACTTGTGGCAAGAAGAAGCACATCAGACTAACTTTCTTTGGCATCAGCAAAACAACATGATCTAATTTCAGTTTGTTTTTTATCCGACTCACAAACCTTTCCCCATGTACGAATGCAAAGACCCTCAGCCAACTCCAAATGTAGACGTTCTCATCTGAGTGTTTGAATGGGTTTAATAGATTTTATTTAATATCACTTCTTTGATTCTTTTTTTTTCCTTCCTTCCTTTTTTGATGATGATGATCAAATGTTGTGTTGAAATGTATATGTTAAAGCTTGACTTGGTAATCATGTGATCCTGTGGAGTTTAAAATGTATTGGTCTAATTTTTAAACACTTTGGCACTTATCTTCAGAATGCACCAAAATATATTTTTGTCCTTACCAATGTGTTTCAAATTTCACTTCTGATCTTTAGCATTTGTTATCTACTAAATTCTTCACTGGTGATGTAAAGATGTATGTTGCCGAGATTTTGAACATTTTGCCTCTTTGTTTTGTATTTGTAAAGCTTAAGTTAATGCAGTCTAAACCATTAAAACTGAAGATTTTACCTTACTTATTATGGATAATTTTGAACAGTACTAAAATGCCAAAGCAATTTTTGGCCAAGTGTTCAGATGCTGATGGCAACATGCAAGATCCATCTTAGGAAAGAATGTCTTCTAAAGTGCATTGTGCATTTCAACTTGATAACCACCTCTATTTTTCTTTGATTATAACATCCCCTCAACATTGGCATTTTTGTGGTAGTGTGCAACATTTGAATTCACATTACAAACCTCCTGTGTCGGGTCGAAGGGTCTGTTTACAAAACAGGCAAAAAACAGAAGTGTTTTGTGAGCATCTATTTACCTTTATCATGTCAAATGTGCCAATAAGGACAGCTTTGGTCCGTAAAAAAATAAAATCTTTTCTTTGATAATTTTTACTGTTATTCTTTAAGCTCACTATATTGAACTATAATGTGTTCAGATATATGAATTTTGTTGAGAATTACATGACAGAAAGACTTTTCATTTTAAAAGGTAATGACATAAAGTGTGTGATGAGTTTAAGTGTGAGTAACTAAGGATTTCAGCATTTATTTATTGTTTGTTATTAGAGGAAAGCAAACCATCTTGATTTTAATTGGGAAAAACTCACACGAAGAGAAAAGACAATTAGGAGAAATTTATTGATACAATTACTTTGTCTCAGACCTCGGCAGGAAACATAGCACTTAATTTTGATGGATATGCATGAACAGGAGCAAAGAATAGGGCTGTTTTCCCCCCAGGCCTCAAACTGGTAGTGGAGTGGAGATAGATGAAGTTGGTCAGTCTGTAGACTGCTGGTTAGTGAGATGGTATGCTGAGCTTTATGGGAGCTTCACTTAGGGACCTGGAAGATGATAGTCCAGTTTGGATAACACAGGTTATCAGTTGAGAGAACCTGTCCATGATGAGCAAGCATGAAGCGACAGTGGAGAGGAAAAACATTCCTTTTGAACGGGTCATCTGAAAGAAGTCACACAGCGCAACCACCACCTGCGCACATGAGCAGACAAGTTGCGGATCGGAGGCCTTTTAAGATGAACTTTAGATGCCAATTGGCATTCGTGGAGGTGTGGTTCAAAGCTGATTGGCTGTAACGCAGGTGGATCTATGAGAGCAATCAGTTTCTTCAGTTAAACTTCCACCTAGGCTCCATGACACAGAAAAGGTTAGTATGCTCAAATGGTCTATTTTCAATATGTTGAGATATTTTGGGATGTGTTTTCCTACTGTGTGGAAACTGTTCTTAAACCTGACAAAAACACATAAAAAGAGGTTGATCAGTAAAATGACAACATGCATATGTACTTTATTTTATGTCCTTTTATATATATATTTATATAATATCTAACCATGGCATTACAATGTTCTCATTGTTTGTATTAGATAATTAATTTTAGTAGAAAATTTACCACCGAGAAACAACATCATATTTTGTCATTGAATTCTTGAATGATTTACTTAAAACATCAAACCAGATGTACCAATGGATTTAAAAATACAAGACATTTGGACTAAATTTATTAAGAATTTTATCTTTTGTTTTGTCTCTTAAAGTTAAATTTAACTTTTCATTCTGTCCTACAGCAGCTTCCCATGTCACTGAGTATTATATATTTTCCAACTACGCTCAACCTGAAGTTGATATTCTCTTTTTGAAAATATATAAACAGATTTTCATAGGGGTGTAAATGTAAATTTTGCTTTTAAATTAGGCAATTTTTAATGTACAAAAACACATGTTTGTTTGTTGTTTTTTCTGGTTTTACAAAAAGGGTGAAAAATATCCCCAAAAAGTTAAAAGGTATTCAGTGACTCGGCATGTACAGCAGTGTATACAATGTTAGCCTGTGGAGAACAAGCTTGTTTTCTATTTTTCATGTTCTCGTCTCTCCAGCTGACTTCAGATGTTTGTAACGAACACAAACCTGCAGTTGTTTTTGTTTTTCTTCAGTCATTGCCGAGGTCTGTGCATTCTCTCTGAGTGTGCTGTAAGTAATTTTGCATTGGTGTGATTTTTGTTTTCTTCTCCTGCTCCACTGAACATGCTGAATGGTTACCAGAGAAACAAACACAGAAACCAACTGGAAAAACTGGGGGGAAAAAACAGAGGAAACATCTGCACAGGGTTGAGGATTATTGTTTTTCTTGTTTGTTTGTTTTTTCACAATTAAGTTTAGCTTTTATATCAGTTATTTTATTTTGGAGTAATTCCCAACTAAATGATATCTTCAGCTAATGATTTAAACAATTTGCTCAAAGTCACAAACCCATTGCTTATCAATCAGGGAGTCATGGTAAATAATAAGTACACCCTTCATCAATTGAAGGTAGTGATGTTATGAGATGAGCCGAGGCTTCGAGGTTTGCTTCATTTGGGGGAGGAGCAAAAATAGATGACGTCCGAAGCCTCACTTCCCCGCCATACCATGTGACCACTTCGGGAAGTGGTTTAGACTTGCCCGGAACTTCGGCAGGAATTTAAAAAGCCTCAGTATTCAGTAAAGACGTGGGAGTTTGTAGGAGAGTTGTTGTCAGTTGGATAGAGTTTGGATATATTCTAAGAATAGATTGGTTGTTTTTCCGACCAATCTATTTGGTTAAAACTATTTTGGTTAGATTAAACAATGTAACGATCAAAATTTGAGAGAGCCACCGGTTACATATGTAATTGTTTTTAGGTGATATTGCTTTTACAGTTGTTGTCATCTTGCCATTGTCGTCAGCTGTAAGAGATGTACTTCCACTCTTCGATTCAATTTAATTTATATAGCGCCAATTCACAACACATGTCATCTCAAGGCACTTTACAGTTCAGCCAGATCATACAATCAACCATCAACCATCAACCTCATACTCTTGAGGTTGATGGTTCAAGGCCCACATCAGACTTTTGAAAGTTGTGATAAAACTTTTTTTTTTTTTTTAGATTGGGTAAAAACACTGCCAATGTTAGATTGGATGGTTTGACCAAAAGATTGGTTGAACACATAACGTCCAAACCGATTAAAACCAAAAACTCTGAAAAAAACTTTTATGTTTGAATAAAATGACTAACACCTTTCATTTTGTTCATCATTGCCCAATTTGCACAAGCACTTTCACTGTCTGCTTGGGCTTATTTCACTAAAATGGCAGAAAAACAATGCTTTTTCTATTCTAAGACATTTTACACATTTAAACCTTAAAAAAGATTTTATTATACAGACCAATCATTAATAATATCAAAGGAATGTATATGGGAAAGAAAAAAAAAAAAAAAAAACGAGAAAAACAATTGCAAGAAAATCATATTATATCACTAACTGTAGTTCTGCACTCCACCAATAGGTGGTGACAGATTCACATGAAGCTTCATGAACTGTGGGGATCATTGAAGTAATTAGCCAAACGGTTCACATGCCTCATGAGGCTTCATCTCACCATCACTAATTGAAGGTAATTACCACATATAAATAATCAAGCCAAAATGAAAAAATGTGCAAAAATACACAAAGTACTAAAAAAATACAAAAAAAAAAAAAATAAGAAACATACTGTATTTATAATGCCCTAGAATTATTGTTTACCTTGACTGTGTTAAAAACAATTTCCTCACTTCTGTAAATTTACTCTGAACACTGTGTACCTTATTTTCTTGACAGCTGATTTCTGTTTCCATCTTTCCTTTAAACTTCAGTCAGAAGTTGCAGTTCATGGAATAGTTTTCAAAGATGTCAAGAAAAAAAAAGGCATTGTTCAAACTGGCTGCAATAGTCACTGGACTTCTTGAAGAGAACATGCCCAAAGCTGCCCAGGCATAATCCAAATTAAGGGGAAATGTAGCAATATATATCGACTAAAAATGTGGAGAATCAAAATTAAAGAGATGTATAATGGTATCATAAGAATGTTTGGAAGTTTTGGTTCAGCTGGGTTTCCATGAATAATGATAATCCAAATCCTCCCAAAATAACTCTTTACTACAATTGTGCATCTAAAAATAAAACAAATCCTCACTGGTAGCTTGCTAAACAATGGTTCAGAGTAACATTAACTTGTTCAGTTTTAATTTAGATTGCATGTCTCAGTTTAGCTCTGTCTCCCATTTGAGTTATTTCTCTCTTTGGGGCAGAGCACACATTGGAAGAACAAATCAGGCTCTACACATACAACAGGATTTTATCTTGGAAACAAACACCTTTTCTAAGAATAGAGAGTAAAAAGAGAAAAAATAAATTCACTTAATCGCTTACATTAGCAAAGTGATATGTCTAATTTTACACCATGCAATCACCATGTAAACTA